TCAAGACATATAATAAAAAAATAGAAACTTAAACTTAAAGTAATATTTGTGTCTACTTCTAATACCAATATCAAATGAACGATTTCGTGCTTACAATATCTATAAAAAAAAACATTGTGATCCTATCGCTATAATATGACAAATAGTTATAACGTGAAGTTCGTGAATACCTTTAACCGAATTCATTTTTTAGGTTTTTTAAAGCTAATTAACAGTTGGTAATTTTTGGTGTACGCGCTCCCTTAAGGTATAACATAAATTGGAGATATTTAACAGTTTGGTATACCCTGATGTGCTGTTGACTGTATATCGCGAAACAGTTGAGTGCTACCTAAGTATAGATTGACGAAACTAATTAAAATGGAAACACTTGGATATAAGGCTCCATGCACAAGTGTTACATAGTTTCGGCAACTAGCAACCAGCGACAGCATTCAAAGTAATTGAGGCGCAATTATGATTATTACTTAAAATTAGCAAAATTGAGGCTCAGGTTAAGGCATCATTTATCTAGCCAAACATGGGACAGACGCCCACTGCTGGGCATAGGCCTCCCCCAATGATCTCCAACGTGATCGGTCTTGCGCCTCCCGTATCCAGCACGGGTTGGTTGGAAGAAATATCATAGCAGTTAGGTCTACTTTGTTACTCATTATTTATGGTTGTATTTTATTTCCAAAACGATGACAAAAACAGTGACTTTCATAATATATAGAGTTCTGTGCATTATATATAATTACAAGTACAAAACGTACAAACTAAAAGTAAATATATAGTGTTGTAGGTAGCCGTGATCTCAAAGATTACAAATTTTATTCATCACGATGAACCATGAAAATTATTGAGTGTGAATTGAATTCGTATCTGTACACAGTAATATCTTTAAAGGAATTGAAATTTCCAGTACAAAATTTCACATTTATTCTACTTCGGGTTCAACTAGCACTTATTATCATCTGGATTGCAGAGCACTTATTATCATCTGGATCAAACCACTGGATCGAGTTACATACACCTCATGTCCTTTCCACTGAACGACATTACTATCCAAGGATTGTTCGTGAAGCGGTTGAAATCAAAAAACACAACAATTTCAACCGGGAAAGTGGATATAAACTCTCACCAACGTGGAATCCGGTTATAAAAATGTATAAGTGTCGCGATCGCAAACAACCACGAACAATATTCTCGGATACCGTAAGTGCAGTGTGTCGCCACCTTTACGTTTAATAAAATCAAGTGGAGGGTACATCTGAAAATCAGTTAAAAACATTATTACCGGATTACCCTCAACTAAAATCAGAAGACGACACCCGCCAGTTCTCCAGTCTCCTCGTGACCACGGCTGCTGTAACGTAGCCGAAACGTCGAGGTAAATTAATTGTTTTAAAAAATGCACGAACAAGACCCGATTGCATATAATTATAATTATATAGTATTATTGTAAATGACTGACAACCATCAACGACAGCTTTTAAAAAGTTGCCAGTTCCGTTGGAATACTTACTCGATACTTTTCTTTCGATTCCAAGTATTTTGGTATCGATACTTTAGAACCGAGTAACAAGTGGTATCGTGAAGTAACTATTTGTATTGGTACTTGTACGTGCTTAAGGCTGTTTATTCTGTGATAAGTTATCTAAAGACTGTCTCATGATAAAGTCCCAAAAGCGTGGCGTCCCTGTCGTATGTCGAAGTATTGCGAACCCCTAATAATTTTATGTAGTTAGAGATCTATCTACAGAGGGCACTAAAACAAGGCCAACAAAATTTTTAATAACTATATGCATCACTTTTTAGTATGCTTCTTTCTCTTTCGTAAGCAGAGTATTGCTGTTGACTATCAATAGAATCAAAGCTGCTCTAAAATCTATAAAAATGACGATGATGGTGAGAAATTTTAAGACTATTCGATACAAGTAGGTATCGATGCTTTTCATTCGAGGTATCAATATCTCGTGACCGATACGGTATCAGGTAAAAGTGGTATCGTACATCCCTAGTCGGCGCGTCTGCACAACGCCTTATTGTGCAGTGTGTTCCCAACTCATCGATTATGCATCGAGACGGAATGGACTTGATAAAAATAGCGAGAGACGTAATACCATACACACTCTATACGAGTTTACATAATCGATTTTGAGCGAGTTGTTTATATTCGCGAATACGTATTACGTGAAGGTGAGATTTTCCAATCAATCAACATCAATAAATATCAGTCCGATAGTTTGTAAAAAATAGCTTTTAAATTTAACGCTGAGTTTTTATAAGTGTTTAGGCTTTTAGAATTCTTTTTTTCGAGTTTTTGAAATTAAGTAATATCTTTTTAAGAAATACAAATGAAATAACGGGTTGACCTACAGCTAAAGTGTCAAAGATTTTATAAAGAACAATGAAATACTATCTATCAATAGGTATCCAAAGTTGTGTATAACATGAAAACTGCCTAGTGTTATTGCTTGTAACAGCGTATTGTTTGATGACAGAGATTGATTAATCACACAAAAGTAGACTGAACTTCTTCAGTCACTTGACGTATGCTTAATTGACTTTCGGTAAACCCGATTTCTTTTATTTAAGCGGTCACGTACACCAAATATTACGTCCAAATAAGCTGTAATTTTATTGTTTGTTTGCATTTAACAGTCTTTGAAACTATAGATTATAAAAAATATTTTAACACGGGGAAGTTACACCTTACTCGATTGACATAGTCATAAAATTTAAAATTTAATTTACGCGGCTGGATTTAAAAATTAATTTGCATTTAGATTTTTAGAGTCTATATTCTCGTCGTCTAGTAAGGGCCATTTTCCTAAAAAATATGTACTTATTTGGAAAATAATATTAAAACTTATTAAAATATTAAACCTATAAACATAATTATAATGACGACTATGACGGAAAATGCGTCGCTTTTCACCAGTCGCGGAATGTCAGAACTGTTAATTAAATGAAATGACTACATTCGATGCATGATCCGTATATTTCGGTGAGGCGCTTTACGGATTTTTCGTCAGATTTGCACCGACCCTTAAACAGTTTTGTCTTATAATTTTATCATTTTTTCTCTGATATATTAATTGAAAAATGTATTTGCCATATTGTTTTATACACCCGTTATAGTTTGTTCCTAGGTTAGGCGTAAAAATGGATAATGGCCCAATGTATTATGTGAGGGCTAAATGTAAATGGTACGTATCGTTATCGTTAGATAATGATACGTACCATTTACATTTAGCGTATTTAATTCCGTAGCGTTTTCGCGAAGTACTGCATTTTTTGTACTATGTCGCTGACTACACCTTGTACAATAAGCGTACCGTAAACCGTAAACCATATATACATACGTTAGCCGCAGAGACAAGTTCATCTTGTCCTAGTTATATATATATACATTTAACATTCTTTATCAATAATAAAACGTAGGTACTATTGTAATTTATGTTTTATATGCATCAAATTATATAGCTTTTTTATCTTTTTGTTAAAGTTTTGTATTATAACATTAAAGAAATAAACGTTCAAGCTTATATTCCTGTGTCTAAATTCGAACCCACGCTATCATCGCACTCTTTATTGGCGCCCAACGTGGTGTCCACCGCAATGTCTCACTGCTAGGCAATGATACAGAGTTCAACAGATAGCGATACGTACCGTGTAAATTCAACTCTCTCATAATAGTTTGGGTTAGTGTCCGATTTTTCGACTGCAAACTATATTTTCATAGCAAATTAGCTGACGGACGGATGGACACTAGAATACTTCCGTTTATTACGAAAAGAGAACCCAAAAAAAAAAAAATAGCGAAGCAGCTGGGCAGCAAAACTGTTCAAAGCGTTGTCAAACATGATTTAATTTTCCACATGTAGTTTGAGTGACGTGGTGATTGAAAGGTTTTTTCATTCTGCTCTCCACGCTGACTGTTTTTCCGTTACTCACAGTTACAGAGTAATTGAGAGCAGCTTTGTTATTTTATAAATATACAGTGTCCAACGCAGTGTCGAACAAAGGATTGTCACAATATTAGTCATTCAATCAATTCGTTATCGTGACATCTGGAGCCAGGGCAGCGGCCCGCCAAGATTAACCAAATGAGCACGACATACCTTTTCCCAAAGCGATTCTTCTTTTTTTTAAATTTAATAACCCGGGTTTGGATCACTCTAATGATAATTAAAGTTATTAGGGTACCTACTGTAGTTCTAGAAAGATGAAATTTGATATGTAAGCCAGTATCACACAGATAACAGAAAAATTCTAAAACTTGGAGTTTTTACCACCTTCCCCTGAATTTTGAATGTCAAAATATATGCCCTGTTCGGTCGTTTCGTTATTACAAGAACTGTTTTTGTAGTTATAAAAGACAAAATTAATTATTAGTACAGTAGTAACTTTACGCCTATATAACGGTAGTTGATTTTTGGTTATCCATCTTATGACTGGCTTTTTCGAAAGTTGCTTATTTTCCACATCGTAAAGTAAAGGCGCTAATCACTGTGCTATCGAACGAATATAACTTTTGCAATTACAATAATATATTTATAATTATCTTAAAAAATACTAGTCCCAGGAGTCCGAGATGCAGGTCTGGTGATTTATTTAAAATGACGCAGGTGACATAGGCAATAACGATGCGGGTGAAGTTGAAGGCAAACAGCTAGTTATACCACATATTAATATTCACGTCTTTAAAATATACTATCGAAAGTACGATTCTTTTATTTAATTACTCGTAGTAGAAACTAAGAGATCCAAAAATCTCTTTTCACTCTTTTGAAGCAGCGCCACTGTTCTCTGTACAAGGGACACGAGAAAAATATAAATATTCCATTATCTTTCACTCCAATGCTGGTACGATATTTGGGCATTCATATTACTTCCGCGTTCTTGAAACGAAAGTAACATATCGTTATATTACAACACACCTCTACACCATAATCACAATAACCCGAAAGGATTCTATTCCCATGAAGACTCCCAGGCTTCCAACGATAATCAGTCTCGTCGGGGTCGTAGCGAGGAGCGGTCGTATCGCTCCACTAAGTTCACAAATCAGTGAAATATATCATTATTCTTGTGTGAAATTATTACATATATTTGTCCATTTAGTGTTAATAGTGTTTCTTTACGGACATAGTTAACGGGTAAGTAAAATTTTCTTTAAGAAATTGTTGTATTTACAAAGTACCTGTTGCTTAGTTGGTATTTTCGTATGATGCTAAACAGAATACCCCCGTTTAGTACGAAGTGATTTTTATAAATGAAGAAAAACTGCTACCAACATATAATTAACGGCTGCAAGTTCTTATATAAAGTGATACAAAAGGAGCATATGGTATCTTTTATTATCGTATCATTGGAGACATTATCAATATTGATCCATTGTATTTTTCGACGTAATGCTATCACAGTGGGATATCAATTTGTATCTCGTTATGAGAACGGTCGGTTTTATTCCATTATTGCCAGGGGGCGTAATAAAAAATGATGAATTTATAGCGAGCAATAAATAGTTTATGATGCAATTATACTGTCTTCATTGATTACTTTATTTCTTTTAAAAAAGTTTAATTAGATTTCTGGACTTTTTATGGCTGATATTTAACAAATTTGATTAATTTAAATATACTTATAAAATTAATATCCATTATATTTAATAAAAGAAAGAAAAAATTAGGAAACTTTTAAAGACTTAAAAACTCATTATAGCCTTTAAAAACTAATATTGAGTGGACTAAATTGGATTTGTCAATATCCTAAAGTATGTTTCAACCAATAATTATCGTGTACCTCTAAATGGAAGTCAAGTAAGAGTCCTCGGTTAGTTTTTATCAGCAAGCCATATTTTTGGAAGTATAAAAAAGAACTTACAGTTTTACAATTTGCTTAGTCTATATGAAAACTAGCCAAGACACACTTTTTGGTTTATAAAGAAGAAATAATATATTAAGTTGTTTTATTGTGAATATTGTTATTTTTAATGTTATAATAATACATTTCAGGACTCATTGTTGAACTTAGTACCCATTTAGAGTCCACTCGTTTTGTTGTTCTAACAATCAATCAAGATAAATTCTCGATATTGAAATTAATTCTCATATTAATGTTTGATGAGATATCATACCTCTTTATTGGTAAGCTTTACATTAGGATATTGTTGTGTCAAAAACGCTCCGACAGTATCCTAAAGCAAAGCTTACCATTGCGTTTTTAGGTTCGAAGAATTAACTTTTCGTTACATGTCACAATATTCCTTCATTTCTGTACATATTCAACAAGGTAACCTAAGTTTCAACACACGTTTCTTGCTGCATATAACTCAAATCGTGGTTGTTTATATCATGGGCCAAACTGATTAATCGGACATTATAAATAATGTCCGCGCAATATGAAATATGCCCAATAGGAAAGGGTAATGTTATAGAAACAAGAAATAATCGAATTGACTGGAAATTACTTAAAATGCACGTCACCTGCCGAACAGAACAAGAGAATCGTGATTTTATTACGATACTTTTTTATTTCAATAGGTTAAAATCAACTCTGCTTTAGAATAAGCTGTCCTACCTCTTTTTTAAAGATAGGGAAGTATAATTTATACTATTTTTAATCTAAGAGTAGAAATTATCTTATCCCTGTAGTTCATGTGATAGGGTAGAAATTAAAGATTTTCTCATCCCTGTAGTTCACGTGCGTGGACGAAGAAGAAGTGGATAATCTTGATAAATAAGGAAGTTCAAATTATCTATTTTGCCTTTAGTAGCTTGTCATTATTTATAATGCCCGGGAACTGTAAATAATGCCTTAATTTATAACTTGGTCCGTAATAGATATATATGATGATGATGTATAACCCAATTTGCCGTCGACTGTACATTAGACCTATGTTTATGCTGCCAATCCAACATCAAAGACAAGCTCGTTAATTCTAGTCTAGTTTGTTTATATTATCTGTTGTGAGGAGAATAGACCTACCAGATTTTCTGGCAAGGTCCATTTACAACTCAACAATCTAACATTTTCTTTGTTAAATTATTTACTTTTAAAAATTATTTAAGTGCCCTTGAATATGTTTCCCCTGAGCTTTCACCTACCTCTATCTTTTTAATATAAAAAAAACTGACCTGGTGGTTACAAAGAATAGGTAAATATATCTTTATTGCGACCGCTACGATCTCCGTAGCTGAGTAGTTTACACACCGGTTTCGGTCCAATTCCTGGTGGGGTCAATGCAGTAAGTAAAGTTTCTATAAAGTTTAATAATTAGAAAGCATAGCATCTTAGACTAGGAATTTATGAGACAGATGATAGATAGAGAGAACAGCTGATTAGATTTACATGATAAAGGATAGGTAAAGGTATAAACAAGATAAAGGTATAATCTGTTTATACCTTTACCGATCCTGTATCTTACTTATTCTGTACTTGTAACTATACACGTTGACAACCTCCTCGATGGAGATGGTATATGTAGAAGAAGAAGGAGACAGTGTTCCTTGCATGGCATATTCTGGTTACCGAACGGTCTAGTGTCTTAATGTAGTATACAATAAATATTGTTTATTTAATTTATGTACTGTGGTACAAAGTTGTAAATGCGAAAGTAAATCTGTCTCGTGTGTCTGTTAAGATGAATTAACATCATTATACTAGTGTAAGGAAACAATTTCGGCACATGTGAAACTGATTTCAGTCAATAGTATCCCAGGAAAAACGTCCAGAAAAAAAGCCAAGTTTTGATGGAGCTGCTTGTTTCTTCTCTAAAGGATTATAGTTAGATTTTATTTAACTGGCTGTTGAACATTCTTTATGCACATTCAACGTCCAATTCACATGAAATCTAACTAGAGTAATAAAGAAATCGCAGTAAAGACCCTTAGACTTGGCTTGACTTTGCTAAGAGATTTCATTACTATTTTTAGAGAAACAAATTTCCGAGACACTGGTTTCGTCAACATGGAAGCTTTACTACACGCAGACGGTGTTGCGACACTAGCTCCATCTATCATGATTTATATTGCGAAGAAACGATACTAGTCGTTATGATATTAATTACGTTACGTTACTTTCATCACAAATATGTGCATAGCATGAAACTATTTTAACGTCGTGAACTAATGAATGAAATGTGAAAGTGGACGTTAACCTACAGGTGAAATTAATGAAATGAAACTTATGTCATGCAATTAGTTTCAGATAGTAAATTCGGCCAATACGGCTTTAGTTTTTCCCGCCTAAATATTTAATAAATATTTAAATTGAAATCATTTCAAACACACTATAAAAGTTTTATAATAATGATTGAATACTTGGCTTACGAAACTGCCATACAATAATTTAGCAAAACAAAAACGTTTTTAAAAACAACATTTCCATGATATTCGTCAATTATGTTGGCAGCCATCTTGGTATAAATTTTTGCTATGGTTAGATAGATAGATAAATTCGCAACAAGTTGCAGTCATACAAAGAATAACATAACATTACACATAAATAAATAAATAATAACTACATCACATATATTGCTCAGATTCCAAGACGAGCTAAAGCCCCCGTATTACAGAGTATCTGATACAACAAAGGTCCCACAACACTCAAACCCACGGTAATATAGAAAGTTTAATTTGCTACTTTGATTCGACCGGGAATCGAACCAACCAGAGACGGCGACAACTTTAAATCGGAGTGCGATCCATGGCGTTTGTGTTTTTCACCAAAAGATGACTGGGAGATAACGTTATAAGCATTAAGTCTGCCTTTTGTACAATACTTTTATTGGTCAATGAAGTTCAATAAATGAATACAAAATACAAAATATACCGAACGCGCTAACCACTAGGCCATCGACGACAACACAATTACGTAGATTCATTACAATCCGATGAAGTAAATTCAATATGCATTAGGTAGGTAAGTAATTTTAATCGCTTCTGTATAATAATTAAAGTTTTAAACTCGCATAACACCGCCTCGGGAATGTATAATGATTATGAGAAATGTTTTACGAGAGTATTTCAATTACACAGGCATCTTATATGTCGGTTTAGGTTTCGTTATTTGGTTTTCCATTTAGATTTAGAAATACTAATTCATATATATAATTAAAGAATGCCTGTTTGCTCGCTGATAACGTCTTGGGTAATTTAATCTTAAAATTAATAGGAACAAGAGCTTTCGTAATTAATTTGGAACTTAATATTCTGATATGTAATTTATTGTACAGTCAACATCACAATATTCAAATCTGTTAAGGTTCTTGGTATTTTACCTCGAAATAGAGCTTGTGTCACTAATTTTGAATTGGTTTTCTACAAAGTAGCTGTAATTAAAAAAAAAAAGTTGATCATTTTCTTTTAACTTTATCTCACTCAATATTTTATTGATCCAGAAATATAAAATTATATTGAGTATAATTTAATGTTATCACTAACTGATAAGGTATAAGTCGTAGCTAAGACTACGACTGTAGTCGTCAGGCAATGTAGCAATCGTAGCAAAGGTTGTAATCGTAGCAGTTATTGTATTCGTAGTTTAACTTGTGCCCGTAGCAAGAGTTTTTTGTGTTACTAGCTCTGGGAAGTATTTTGGTACAATTCTTTTTTCCTATGAATGGAGTCGAATCGAATAAGATCAATGGGTCATAACCCATTATGCGGGCTTAATGCGTATCGGTGGGTGTTAACGTTGCTGATGCAGCCAGGACTAACGGCTTAACGTGCATTGTGCCAGTGTTGTGCACAGTGCTCAAGATAATAATGTTTTGGTCACCCATCCTGTGAACGGTCCTTACGAATCTTATCGGACCTCTTATACCTAAGCTATACTAATATTATAAAGAGGAAAGATTTGATTGTTTGCTTCGAATTTGCTCCAAAACTACTGGACCGATAGTTTCAGAGCGATTCCGACCTACGGGAAGCTACATCAGACGCACATGTCATAGGCTGTAATTTTGCGGCAAAGTCGCGGTAAAACAGCTAGTTCATTATACCCTGTGAAAACTTATCTGTGGTAAGCCTGTGGAGTATGAAGGCAACACGGGTTGACGATAATCGAAACTAATTTCTCGATCTCTATTGTGCAAACTGCGAGCTCTTTCAGAGACCAAGCGCATTTCTCTATCAAAGGAAGTTTCATACTCATA